TGCACCGAGGAAGATGCGGATGGGTTAAACTGTCTCCGTTCCGAGTTTCATTAATATAATCCGTCTGAGTGACCGTTTAGGGCGATTAGCACGATCCCTCGCCTCCATTTTAAGTGGAGTGTTTCACAGGTTTTCTCCGTGAATATTCATCCTACGTCCTCGAAAATCTAATAGATTTCACGGCACATCGCACTGGGCTTGCATACTAACTTTCATCAAGATCGCTCAATTCCTTTGCGGTGCTTTTTCCAGCCACGAGTGTTTAACCCGGCGAAAAGTTCAAGCGACGGAATGGGCCGCATAGATTCAATAAAGTTCGTGTTTTTCGGTTATATTTGTTTTCGGTTCTCCCATCTCCGAAATACGCTGAATAATTGAGACGTTGCGTGACTTTCGAGACACACTGTATATTAAAGGACACACGCTAAACAATGGCGAGAAACTCTCAACTCGACACGAAGTGAGATTGCTTCGTGCTCCTCTGCACTTCGCGGCAAAGTCACAGTTGCCATTCGCGGGTATCCAGCTGGCTCTGACACGTTCATCTGGACACATCAGAAGAGAGAAGAGGGAAGCGAAATTCCAAAGAAAAGTGAACGCGAAGGCAGAATGAAAGGAAGAAATGATAAAGAGTCGAATCCTCTTCCATTTTGCCATCCTTTAACCTTCGACGCGGAATTCCGTAGAGAATACGTCACAGCGGGCAAATGCGTGCACGCAAAGTGCAGTTTTTGCTTTGTGCTTCTATCTGGCGAGGATTTTTGCAACTCTTCGAAATGTATTAGTTTGGCTCTGTTGAGAAAGCTTCAAGTTTCCAAAAGGATGCATAAATGAAGTAGCGTAATGACCATTTTTCAAAGGCTTTTCCCCTTTCTTCAACCTTCACCCCTCCCCCTCTCTACGAGACTCACTAACGTTAAGCCTGGGCCTAGCCCACGGACTGTCTGCAGGTCAGGCCTAGGCCTTCCTTTATTCGTCAATAAGAATTTCAACGCTCGACTTACGGGTGCCAAATAGGCCTGGTAATGTGAAATGCACATTCATATCATGCTGTCTATTGAGTACACCATGTGAAAATTTCAACTGCTGAAACAAATATGACAAGTTTTAGCTGCTATACGGCACAGCGCGTTGGAGGGTTAAAGAAGTGTGAGGCAATAACTGACCGAAAATGGCATTTCCATCGTTGTCCCCGTCCCCCTCTCTCACTGCAGATTTTCCAAAAGAAATCGATTTTAGCTGCTATACGGCACAGCGCGTTGGAGGGTTAAAGAAGTGTGAGGCAATAACTGACCGAAAATGGCATTTCCATCGTTGTCCCCGTCCCCCTCTCTCACTGCAGATTTTCCAAAAGAAATCGATTCATAAAAAATGCACAATATTGTCCGCAAATCTTTGGAAGAGCTATTGGAGACTCTCGTGAGCAGAAGGTGTTGTGTTTAAGTGCTTTTTGGCACCTATAAGCCCATTTAGGAGGAGCTTCCTTTCCATACTTTGAGGACTGTAGACCTACCTATAAATAGGCGTTTAAATTCCGCACAGGAGAAACCGCTCAACTGGAAATGGCTCCTTCGATATCACCTAAACTTAAAAGATTTTGATAAAATTGAGGAAGACTTTCAAATGGATTTTTCAGCTGGCATTTCTCTTATGGGGCGTTGAATGCCGCATTTCTTCGTTTCCCTGGTCAAAATCCTACAAAGAATGAAGCGCAAACCTTTTCTCCTGACTGTGCAAACGGTTCAAGCGATCGCGAAAATTGCTAGGAGGAAAAATGTCGTTCTCTTACAGAGCGGCTTTCATGAGGGCATCTCCGAAAGTCCTCTCCTCGTTCTTCTCGGAAAGACCATTAGGGTAAAAAGGTGTGCGTCGAATACCTTGGGTATCGCTTTCGGTGCACGATGCACAAGATACTGTACTTTAAATTCCCATGGTGAATCCTTCCAGGAATTACTCATGAAAATTCAGCGGAGAGGCGCCGGTGTGCTACGTTTCCCCTTGGGAATGACGGTTTACGTTTTCGTAAAGTCGGTACCTTACAGGGGGTGAGAGACGCTACGTGGAGTAGTTAAAGAAGTAATTATATAGTACTCTTTATTCATTCCTCGCTACTGAAGTCGGAACGGAGCAAAGTGACGAGTAGTATTGCGTTTCGTTTCGTTTCGACGATCGAGCAAAATATTTTAATTTGACTCAAGTCCTATGGTTTCGGAAGTTTTTTTTTCGCCCAAGTAGTGACTGAGATCCCTGTAATCCGCTTACCGAAGGACCCAAGTTCTATCGTTAAGGTGAAATTCACCGCCGATTCAAAAGAAGTTGGACGAGCCTCCAGAAGAGCTCCGATTGCAACCGTAACACGAGCCTCCGGTTCCGGATCCGGTTCCGAATCCGGGTCGTACGTTGACGATCGAGGAACATCTGTTACGTGTTTATGCTATGCGACCTTTTATTCTTGGTCTCAAAAGAACACCCCTTTTATGCAAAGATTAGCCCTAACATGTGGCGTTCTGGGAGTAAGCCTAAGAAACGGAGTAGACTTTTAAGAAAGCTTTCAATATCTGGAAGCTCCTCGGCTTATTTTTTCCTGCAGAACCCCGTAAATTGCTTTGCGTGCCAATCCAAGTCCCTGGAATTCATTCTCATCCGAGATCGCAAGCCGCTCCAAGATATGGGCAGTCTCATCCCAATACGAACTTTCTTCCATGTCAGTCACCTGAAAATTCACATTTTTGTGGAGGCTATCTCTATTCATTGGGTGATTGTTCGAACAGTTGCACTGTTCGGTTCGTGCTCGGTCAAGTGTTCGCCTTTCATGAAAGCTTGGAATTGTGCAATTATATTCACCCACCAAGCCATCGCAAAATAGTCGATATCGAGTTCGAGAGTTAGATTTGAGAAGTTATGATTCTGCAGATTTTTAGGGGCATTTAGGGACATTTGGCAGAAACCTATATCGAAAATTTCGCGGTTTGACACCTGCTCAACAAAGGTGACGTCGAGGAAGAAGAGTTAAAAAATGAGTTCCCCCTTTTCATTTGACTACTACATCTGTACTAATTAAAATATCCTCATCCAATTCGTACCATTCTTCTGTGATCTAAGACAATTTATTCGAAAAATACCTAAAGTGCTTCTTAAACAATTATTTTTTACAGAACTAGATAAGAAAAAAATTCCCAGTTGTGGATGCATTGTTACGTTGCATGCTGAGATACACATTCTTAATTCCATATTTTTCAGTGAAGCTAATGAGTTATAAAAGGTAATGCAGCAATTTCCATAAATAAATTTAAGCTTTAAACCGTCCATTGTGATGAAACGGATGCTCCCCTGCTTCGACAACCTTTGCCGACCTAGCTCGCCTCTGCTCCATCTCCCCGATCCCGAGGGATGGCTATCCGAGGGTGTGAAGGAAAATGTGTGCACAACTAAGATCTTCACTTTGCGCTGCCAAAAAAATATTACATGAATCTACAGTGGTACTTCTTCGAAATGAATTGCATTAGATCGAGAAAGAGTACAGCTATTTGTCCTCGAAATTGCATGAGCGCAAATTGATTAGTAGAAATTTAGTAATGGAATGAAAAACGGTGAGCTTTTCTTCGGCCCACTCTTTAAGTTGGGACCACGAGCGAAATGCCTCCTCGAGTCTAGCTTACCTCTACCACCTGAGGGGGAAATGAAGGTTCCTTCCAATGCCAGACTAGGACGTACTCGGTCGAATCTGATTTTAAATGTCTCTACCGAATTCCTTTCTCTATCCCGCAAATCCCCGTCTTCCGCAGATTCACACAGGCACGAAGAGGGAAAGAAATGCATCGGTACCCTATGAACTAGGATCGGCCGCGCCGAGTTGTTACTTGAACCTAATCAATAGGAAGAACGCCCGACTGGAGTGGAAAGCATTGTGCCGTCGGAAACGTTTCTTCATCCTCATTCCTCTGAGTGCCTTCTTCGACAAAAATGTTGGTCCCATAACATCCAATTTAACTTCCAAGTCACGTGATGTAGGTCGAGATGGGGTTCTAACCCTAACATTGTGCGCGAATGTCCCTCCTTGGGGAAGAAAACGAGGGGCACGAAGATTCTATTCTTCAGGTTCCTACAACTTCCTCAATGGAATGAAGGTCGTAAAGTACGACTTCCGTTCTCCAATCGTTTCATCCTCATTTATTCTTCTCCGATGCCTCTCCAACTATCAAATATAGATGGATAGATATCGGTGTATATAAAGTCTTTTAGATTTTGAGAACGCAACAGGTCATCCTCAGGATCTTTTCCTCGGAAAAAAATGTGAACATTTTGGGGGGGGGGGGGGAAATTCGGTTAAAAGGTGAGATTCCTTACTCTAGGTGTCCCACATCTGTTTCCTCAGTAGCTTCCATGCATGCACTCGGAGGATCTCGGACAATAGTGTGAACACTAATCTGACAAAGTTTTATAGATGTATTTTTAAAAGGCGACTTCTCACAGATGTTGTGTGCATGGTTTTCTGGCAGTTACAAATGAACATCGAAAAACTTCTACTTCAGCGGCTGCACCTTCACCCTGTTCGCAGATCGACACCATGGCACCTTTATTTGGGTATTCTTTTCGTCAAATGAGATCAGCTCTTGCATCGTTCTCGGTGCATTTCACATCATAGAAAAAAAAGCGACAACAAGTAATGAAAATACCTCAGACAATTTTATTTGTTGAACCTTAAATGCGCAAACAATTAGGAAATAGATGAATTTGTGATATAAAAGGTTAAATCCAGGCTGTGTATCGCGGCTTGCAGATAACGTCAGAATTTACATAATTTGCGCGTCATCGTGCTGAAATCTACTAAGATCGTGCATCCACGTTCCAGATTTGTGACGTGTATCCAAAATACCGCTCAAAATTCAACCAACCGCTCAACCCCAAAATAACCCAAAATTCAACCGCTCAACTTCAACAGATTATAATTGTCACAAAAAAATACAATGAAATTGGATAAAATAAAAATAAAACAGGAGATGAGTATGGAAACAAATTACTTGGGAAAGTAGAGGAGAAACACACAAGGTGGCTGGAATGGAAGTCAAAGTACAAAGGAAAACTAAGTGTACGAAAAAAACTAACAAAGGAACAAAACAGACCAAGGAAAGAAAACAAGCAAAACACGCAAGGGGAAATGTAGCCAGGTAGGGGCAGCAAGGAGCATAGCAATATGTTCACGTAAAATGAGTACTCAAACTTCTTTAGTAGTCCTGCCCTGAATCGAAACATCCACATTAGGAGTGCATATTTTTGTTTATCCAAATCTGGTTGTAATTAATCAGCATTACTCATTAAATATTCCTTGATGACCATCATTCTTGTTACTGATGGTCTTCGTTCAATTCCTAATTTCGTTCCATTCCTTATTGCCTTATGCGCTATTTAAATTGTCAATATGGCTCCTTGGGAGAATTTCTTTCTTTCAGTTGCTCAGTATGGGGCGATTTCCATGAGCCCCATGGCAATACCTCTCCTTCCATCTAGTGGGGAGAAACAGAGGCAACTACGAGAGGAATCGATGAAGACTCCAGTGCGCAAGAAGGACAAGTCGCAAGACGCTCTTCCCATTTCTTCCCTATATCGCACGTGGACGACGAAGAGGATTTTCCCTGCATGGCATTCTAAGAAAATGTCTCTCTGTCTTTTCCTCATCGTGGTCGCGACCTTGACCCAGGTCGAAGGTCTGCGACGAGTGAAGCGAGGTCAATACGACCAGTCTATCTCCACCTACGTGAACGATGTGAGTCGGGCTTCTTTCCCTCTGCGCATTAGCGCCTCGAGTACACGGGAAAACATCACATGACGGACATCTTGTGACTCCCGATATGGAGGCTGGAATTCCTTCCAGAAAAAAAAAATATATATATATATTTTACGGAATTTCTGAAGGTGATGACATATTTCACCGTAACCGTGTGCTCGAGCTTTCTGCTGACTTTCCCGAGCATTTCTTGATCGAACCTATCCTTCCGTTCGTCCAGAGGACGTGTTACTGGAACGAGCCGTGCAAGGAAGAATTCCAGAATGCATTCCGGTGTCGCTGCCCGGGTTGGTCTTACTGTCGGGGACCAGGAAAGTATTACAACGCCCACTGCGCCATGAGTGGGACCGGCTACATCTGGATGCAAGAACCCCCGCCCATTAGAGCCCCTTGGGTGCGACGGAAACCTTGGAATAAGGCCCAATCTCGACATCCTGGACCCAGGACTTATCGATCCGTCGATGACCATTCCTTTTAATTAGATGGCCCAATTTTGGCCCCGGGTCCGCTGGAAAGCAATATCCAATCCCTCGATGGTAGAGTATTCCCCTGCCAAATCTAGTCTTCCACGTTCTATGGGCTTTGTATGATGTAGATTAGAAGAAATAAAGGAATAAAACGCTACGAGCTTACATCATTTGCAGTTCGCCTGACACATCGTGAAGACACTCTCACTTTTATTCACGTGAATTACTCCTCTCAATTGCGAAAATGCAGGGGAGCTTCATTTGCAGTTCTGCTGTGTGGAGTTTTCGGCTTGTCTCGTAGTTCCTTAGGATTGCTTCATCTCGTCTGCTTTCCTTAATACAGTTATCTCTTTACAGATCGCAGGAAACTTTTGAAATATAACCCACGATATACAAAATTAGGACCGAACAACAATTGAACTGCCGTTTTGAAATCAGTCATAATCGGTCGACTCACTTTACTCACCAGTCTTGAAACTTCTTGATTCCTTTAGCATGACAATCAATTAGTTTCCCCTGTTGCCACTCTTGTATCATCTGTTTTCCTACTTCCTCATCGATAATTATTCGGTTTTCAGATTGCGTCTTTAGGCGAGCCAAACAAATCGAAGCGAGAGGGGGAGAGGGTCCGCACTTTATCGGGGATATGTGAACACATCCCACAGAATCTCCTGCACTTCTTGGGCGATTGCTCCCGTGGCACGTAGACAGGTTGCAGCAAAATGGTTCTGTCGATCACGTCGCTGTTAGCGCGTCGTAGCGTCGCCGATGGCTACACTCACAAGTGGCGAATAAGTAGAAGTGACTTGGGCGAATGAGCAAGAACATTTAGCTGCGACGCCATCGTACGCACATGGAGAGCAACTTTCCAACAGGTGCAGGACCTAGAGAGGGAGATGCTCCCATCTAGTCCTCATGTCAATATCGAATTCATAATTGTTTCACGATATTGACTGGATGATGATGTTAACAGTCCAGAGCATGGTCAATGTTACCTCGATGTTGATAATAAGACTGGACTCTATACTGCAAGGACAAAGGATTCGTGTTGCGCTCCAGCCGAACACTCAATGTCTCTCAACGTTACATCGTCACACAAGATAACGGCTGAACCATCAGCAGTTATTAAAAAAAAAAACAAGGTTCCCACAATCGAAGTGAGATGTACCTAAATCGTCAATGCAACGAATTGCAATTTGAATAAGTGGAATAAGTCACCAGTGCTTTTCACACAATGCTATAGTACATATTTTCCCTCACAGACAACACAAGGGGGTTGCCAACATTTTTCCTTTGATTGCAGTTATGAGGGAAAAAAATAAAAGAACTGGTAATGAAAACTGTCTGGTTCCTTGGCCTTATAAACAGGCGGGGTCTGAATAAAAATGCGTGGTATGCCTTAAAAAAATATATGAGCTTTGAAATTGCTCTCATCTTTTGCTCAAGTAAATGACAGACATTCTCCAAAATTTTCAAGCTTGTTGTGCTGCATAGAAAATGGCACCATATAATTGAAAACAGTGTTTTTTTTGTTGCGAATTTTGTGATTATTGCATATTTCGAGCCATCGCATCTCCTTGGGTGGAATTTGTTGGGACAAAAATGGGACACACATCGTTAGATCTTTTCCCGCTGATTCCAAAAGCATACATGATGATAGGGTTTTATGAACATGTTGACGTTTTGCAAATTTCAGAATAGGCCAAAATTTTGCAAATTTGACATAGCTTTATTTTATTCAACATCACCTTAAGGAAAAAAGTATATGAAATAACTTCGAAAGTCTAACCTTTTTAAAGAACAATGGTGTTTTGCTGCGTTCGTTTAGGCCGAAAAGTTTTCGGTCCACATGAGCATGAGGAAGTGCCCCTTTTTTTTTAATTTCACAAAATTTAACGAATTATTGTGCCAAAACGGCTACATACCCGAAGCAAAAATGTTGCATGCTTCCTTTGGGCCAGGAGGGGTACCACATAAAAAATGTCGTCAATATCGGAGGGGGTCATGCTTCGGCCTCCGGCTGATTTGAGATGGAATGACCCAAGGGAGAAAACATGGAAATTCCTCAATACACTTGACGGCCACCCAACCCAACCCTGGTCATTCTAACGCTGAGGATGGGGAAAGGAAGGTGCAACTTGGGATCAGACTCCCGGCAATGTTCTGTTTCCTGTTATTAAAGTTCTAATGTCCTAGCTTGAGGAAATCGCTCATCCTCGCATACCTCACGGATCCTACTGTTTAAAAAGTGCGTTGTTCGAAAAGTCAACCTTACCGTTCGTCCGATATCCCTCTCTTTCCCAAACTCCAGTTCATCACTTTTTCCTGCCTTTTTTTTTCTCCATCATGTTTGTCTCTTACTTTATCGATGGTCTTCCCTATTACTTTATTTATGGTCAGGATGAGATACCTGGTCTCTGTCATCTACAAGGACTATAAGAATTTGTTCTGGTTCTGTCACGAAGGCTAGGTTTTAGCATGAGACGTGAAAACGGGCGAAAATGCCTTTTGGCATTTCTACCTAAACCTTGACCCTTGAGCGGAATGATTGGAGAAGGAGCTCGGTAGCCATCAATCCAGCCACTCAGGAACCTCCCAACCATCCTCCGCTGTTGTGTCTGCCGGCTGAGATGCTGATCTCATCCAGACTGAATCATAAACAGAGCGATCTCAGCTGTTTAGCCATCTGAACTGCTCAGGCCAATAGTAAACACCATTAGGTGACATCTGTGAACATGGCGGCGAGCTGCACGGCACTCTAGCCGCTACTGTGAATTTTTTATTTCTCATTTTACTGACACATTGCTTGTCATCTCTCTTTTTGTTGATTTTATTATACTTAGTTCAAGTCATCACATGAAAAGAAATAGAATAACGCTGATCATTGCCTAACAAAAGTTTCAGGTCATCATAAACAGAGTTTACTGAATTTTTTTCAGTTTTGTCTGACACTTCGAAAGAGCACGTTTTCATTCGACTATGAAATTATTATGCGAATTTCGCCATTACAAGAGGCCCTGGATGATAGGATCGTCACTGTGATCATTGTGAAATTTGTTTCATATCAACTATGCTGAAGTTGGCAATAAATAGCAGATACTCCATAGGTTAGACATACATCATAGTTCTGTTCCTTCTTATCGTGCTACATGCCTAGTTTTCAGAGCTCACTGCTTTGCAATCCATGTCTTGCTTTATGTAGCACTGAGAACTTGTTCTCATTCATTCTCAAGCAGAAACTTATAGCTGTGTTGCCACATCCTTTAGACCAGATCTTAAAGAAAAATCCATCTGATATCTCCCTAGCAGCTAAATATGAGAAATATTGCTGATTGCACTCTGTCAAAATAAAAGCTGAAAGGAAACCACTACAAAACTCAGTTCTACATAATACTTGGCCACAAACTGTGAGGCTATGAACTTGCTATGAAATGCACTTTTTCCAAATTGCAATTCAAGTACCACAAATGGTTTTGAAGTTGATCTGACTCACTCCCAGGATATCTTATTGCAATTCTGATTTCTTTTGCTAATATAGGAGTTAACTTGGCTCAGTGAAATGGTGGTGGATCACTGAAGGCAGACTTGGATCTTAAATATATGTGAACTCCTCAAAGTAATGCATGCTTTTCTTTACTTATTTCTATCATTACTACTAGTAAGATTGTTAGAATAAAGAAAATTTATCTGATTGAAAGACTGCAGAACTTTGAAATTTCAAGATATTTTTGGGAGGTAAGGCAAGACTATGAGTAATCACTAAATGAAAGTTTGACACAGAGAGTGGACAAGAGCTTATGCTAATAGTAGAGGATGTAGGCCTACAATGTTATTGATTTCATTTCCCCCCCCCCCCCATTTACATATATTCCAAACTTTTCTATGGGTTGTACCAACAAGTTATGAAGTGGCAGTTCAAACACTCAGGAAGGGATGTCATGGATGGGCTTGACACATTACTATACCCCTTCACTATTAATGATTATCATAATAGAGGTCTCTCAAGTGCCTTTTTACAACAGTGCAAGAAGAAACTGTCAGTGGGTTAAAACCTAAAACCTAACTGCACTGCATACCTTCTATCATCTCTGCTCTGTGATAATCCTTCCACAGAGACAAGCAGTAGCCTTAGCCTTATTAAAATACAAGCATCTTTTTACAAGAAGGCATTGGTTAACAGGGAGACTCAAATTGGTCATTGATCTTGGTCATGTATCTTTGATCATTGATTGGTCATGTATCTTGCTTTTTTTTAAATGACAGTATTTATAAATATGCCATTCCAAAAAAGCTGTGGAGAAGTCAGTGTGACAGACCCTTTCATTCTCCCTTATACAACTTGTCAAAATTCCTGCAAGTGTCATGTATTGTATATTAATTCAAAGGAGACAAAGAGAGTTTTTCAATTATATGGATTTCACAATGATCAAACACTGCAATTCATGCAAGTAAGGGCTTTGCTCACTTAAGAAGCTTGTGAGAGCTCTCGTTATTAGTTTTTTATTTTAAAAAATGTTAATACTTAAAATACTGATTAGCATGGCTGTCATATCACAAGAGATAATTATTTCACAAATAATTCAGATATTCCTTCTCATGAACAGTATTCATTGTCACAAGCATGTAAAACTCTCAAGCCATCAGGGTTTAGTAGAATCTCAGTGCACCCAATCATCACTGCATGAAAGCAAATGTCAGCTTGCATGTTGGAGAGTCCTATCAGAGTCTTGTCCTATCTGTATAAATAATTTCCTTGGTCAATTTGCTGAGTTTGCTGTCAGACTTAGGCCCAGGGTAGCTTATGTTCAGGTGGTATCTATAGGCATGTTATAGCCTTGGCATAGGTTATGGTTAAGCATGTACCCCCTAGGGATATTGTGTTGCCCCCAAAGTTAGGCCAAGCCAGGCTAGGCTAGGTTAGGTTGGTGTTTATTAAAAATGAAAGGAATCCCAATTGATGTGGTAAGTTACCAACTTAATTCATCTCGAAACATTGGAGACTGGGGAGTGCAATTTTTCTAGGGGGTATGCACTTAACCATTATGCTTGGTGTATGTATTTATGTTATTAGATTGACTGAAACTGTTACAGGATCAAAGGACCTTGATGAGCAAGATGAAGTGAAGCTGGACCCTCACGTGAATGGGCCCTAACATCGAAATGGAATGTAAGCATGGGGCAGCGGATCATAGTGGGACATCTCAGGCTGAATCAACCATGTTCTCAGTTGAGAACTCTGATCAAAGATCAAATGCCCCACCTGGTATTCAGAGATCTGTTGATGAACATGAAATTGAATTTGTAGCTGAAACAGCAGTCGATCTGAATAGGTCTAATTGTGCAGAATCTCCTTGCTCAAATTGGACAAAATGGACATACAATTATCAAGAAGCTACCATATATCTTGATGTGAGTGGACATTCTCAAAAATTATATGTTATTTTAATTCTCCACCCTACTTGCCTTTATTTTAGGACTTAAGCTTAAAGTTATCTAAGATGTTGCTATGACTTCAGGTCTCACCATGTAGTCTGCTCTTAAGCCCATTCAGAAGGCCATTTTGCAGGTTTATAAAGTTGAGTTTACACCTTTTAAATGACTTTGATGTATGTAGTTACTTGCCCAGTCACCAGTCATATATGTGTCAAACTCAAATGAAAAAAGGTGTGATATAACATAGTTAGTGCTTTCTTAGTGGAAGTTTGTTCTGTTTTGAAAAAACTGTAACCTGAACTATTGAGTATTTCTGATAGATTTCTATATTCAGTAAGGTGGTGGGATTTTTTTTTACTTTGGCTATGTTGTTTGCTCAATTTGTTTTTTTTTTTTTATCCAACAGGAAGGGGAAAACAATGAGAAGTTCACATCTCATCCTCACAACCGGGAATCTCTACCTGCATATATGCTGGTACATAATGCTCTCTTCTATATCTGTGATCTTGGAGCTTCACTTCTCCTCTTGTCCATGGCTGTGGTTGAACCTCCTGCATATCCATTGTTGCAAGTAAGAGAGAAATGTGATCTCTTCACTAATATAACCATTCTCAGAATTGTAGCACCTTGTGTTTCTCCCATCATTTTTTCAGCAGCAATAATTCTCTTGCTCCCTGTGTTTGTAGATCCCAGTGTGGGTTCATGCCTCAGTGGAGATAATCCTTCTGTTCATAGTAGGACTGGAATCCTTCATGAAAGTACGATGGCAGGGGTGGAAGACATTCTTGTCACATCGACGCTCAGCTCTTAAGGTGACCCTTGACTCGACTTTTATATCTGCTTGAAAGAGTCGATCAGTGATTTAATTCAGCCAGTTTATCAATTCCAGTTTGACTCCATTTTTTTTCTGGCCAGTTAATTTGAAACTGAGACTAAACTGCATGTAAACTAAAGCAATAGTACCTTCTGAGCTCCGCTTCACAAAGAATAGACATTTTGAAATGAATAGACCCTTAACTGGAAACTGGATATTGTCTATCAATAAATCCCAATTGCAAATGCTGATTGCTTATAATTTTGTTTAACTTCATTTCTGTTGCTTTTTATCTCTTATTAATATGAATTCAATAAAGTAGTTCATTTTCAGTTTAGAAGGATCTAGCTAACTGGAGATAAACTGAAATTGGGTTTTCACTAAACTGACATTGAAACTATAATTAAACTAAATGAGATGAAATCATTGAATTTGGCTGGATATAAAACTGAGAATGTGACAGTGATTGATCCCATTTCAATCCATTGATGCTCAAGTCCCAATCATGAATCACCCAAGAGCATTTTCTTCTTCATCATGATCCATCTTGAACTGTTAGTCCTTTATTATGTACAAAGCAGTCCCAATCTGAGACTGTTCCATTTCCATTGCATTGGTCATGAAAATCTCATGATTTTATAACTCCACATATACTGCTCTGTTCTCTTCTTCATGTATCACTAATACTTCTTAACTGCAGGCATTGACACTGGCAATCATGGCTGTGGAGACAATAGTGGTGATTGTAAGACAAGAGAGCCATCTGCGAGTGACGCGGGCATTGCGTCCCATTTTCCTCATTGACAACCACTATTGTGGGGGAGTGAGGCGTTTCATCAGACAGATTTTTCAAAGTCTTCCACCCATTTTGGACATGCTTATACTCATCTTCACATTTGTCCTCGTCTTCTCTTTAATTGGCTTCTCCATCTTTGGATCCAACCCTCAAGATCCCTATTTCTCATCACTGGAAACAAGTTTTGTCAGCCTCTTTGTTCTTCTCACTACTGCCAAGTAAGTCTGATGCATTTAATCTCATTATGATGTTTACTTTGTAGTGCCAGTAAGCCTCATAATGGAAGGATATTTGTCATGAAAGTGTGACTGCCAAACTTGAGTGGCTTATTCTTTTGCTGTTCATGGGTGTAGGAGTAAGTTATCAGCTGGTAGCCTTAATGGCAGTGGGCCAGGCATGTCTCAACTCATGCTTTTTGTTTTTTAAATCCCCCTTAGTAAGCTTGCTGTAGTGGCCGCTTATTTTGATTAGTCTTTGGTAAACCTATACCAGTTACACCCGACCTTTCATTCCAGCTATCCAGATGTGATGATGCCAGCCTACAAAGAATCCCGATGGGCATCTGCTTTCTTTGTCATCTATCTTCTTGTTGTCCTCTATTTCCTCATGAATCTCGTATGTTCTCAGCTTCAAATTTCCTCAGCTGTCTCTTTCAGTGATAGATATGTTTAATGATACCTTGAATAATTTTCAGATGCTTGCTGTGACTTATGAGAGGTTCACATGCCTGGAGAAAGAGAAGTTTCGTCGCCTGTTTCTCCACAAGAGAGAGGCATGTCATCATGCTTTCAATTTGCTTCTGTCACAGGGTCAACATGAAGGTATTACCTTCTCACGTTTCCATGGCCTCCTTTCAAGCCTTCATCCAAAGCAGAGTAAGCTTCCTCTACCATTATGTGCAGAGTTCTGCTGGGTACGGCAAGTAAAAAGATCCATCTTCTAGCCTATGTACCAGGTGCTGCAAAAAAAATGCATCCTGTTTGTTGTGCTATGAAACTGACAATAGAAATGTTAGGTTCATAATTTCTCCATATCACAGAGGGAGTACTGTAATTCATTTCCTGAAATGGTAATAGGGTAAAGCACCCAGTGATGGATCATGTTGGAGTTAAGAGGCTGAGATTTTCTGTGATGTCACCATTTAACATTGTGTACCACCAGAATAGTGAGACCGTAAGACCATCATTAAATAGAAATTGCAGTTCACATTCTCTATTGATGCTGTTCATAGTTATGTTGAACTTACTTTATCATGATCCATCACTGGGTGCTTTACCCTATGTCTAGGTTGTTTGAGTATAAAATGTCAATATTCAGGCAAGGTTTCAGCATTGTTCAACAGATTTCTCTCTCTAGATGCCAATAAAGCTTGTATTTTATGTCTACATCCTTTGCACACTTGCCCTTTGGTCTTCAGCTGAGAAAGGAAGATTTGAATGTGATTGTGGCTTTTCATGTTTTCTGTAGTACGACTGGAAAGGAAAGAAAATAGTCAGATTTAAAAAACATATGGACTGTGTTCTATGTCATACCTTCTCTCACTCTAGCCTTTCTTGTAAAAGCACACCTATGTTACAGTAATGTTTTACTTGCTGTGTCTGCTGTGGGATGACACTGGATAATCAAGAATTCTGCAATAAAGATGGATCCTTATAATCAGGCCTTGTGGCAACAAATGAGGCATATCTATTCAGTACTGCTAAATCTGCTGCAGCCTGATGCAGGGGAAAGTTGAATTTTCTTAATAAGGTTTGAATGACAGTCGCTTTTTACCAAAACAACCTAGAGACATTCAACAAATTTTAGATTGTTTTTCTGTCATTTAGAAAAATTCCAAGCATAAGAATTCCTCTGTAGGTTTTATCATCATCATGCATCAAAGAGGATGCATGTTTTTGCACCATCTGGTGCATCTGCTCTTACTAGGGTTCTTTTCACTAAATTTGCAGTTTCCATTCTGTGGAAACATTTTCAATTTGCCATTGCCAATGTGATGTTCTTCCTTCTGTTAGGCCTATATGCATTGGTTGTCTTTTTTCATCTAGGTGAACTGTCATCATACCTGGCTTTCAAGGCCTTAGGAGGGAAAGCACCAGACTCTGTGCTTACTCGAGAACAGTTTTCCTCCATCCATGAGATCCGTCGGTTGAAGTGGACCCGGGCAAAATGTCAGGAATCTCAATGGCACAGTGGTCTTCCTCATGTCATTGACAAGATCTGCACTGGTCTTCACACAGTCATCCAGACTAAGCTCTTCCACTGTCTTGTCTGTGAGGACTTTGCACATTGTCTCTTTTCTTATAATCATATTAGCCCCTTCACATGTGTCCATCACATTTTCACAATGCAAGAAATTTGGTGAAAAACAATCACTCGTTTATGGCATCTAATTTTTTATTTTTCTCCAGGCTGTGGGAGGCATTTACAGGGTGATTTTGATATGTCTCATTCTTGAACAGGGAGGTGAACTTATTGGATGTGTCCTTCATTCAATAATCAATCTCCCATATGTGCTCATGACTTTTGCTAAGTTTCACATTCCTAGCTTCAGCAATTCATCAGTTATGCCATTTTCAAATGGTATAATATTTTAAAAAATCACCCTGTATTTGCATTCATTTGAGAGACATCTTCAAGTTTATTTTCTTTGCATTCAGATCGCCAAGGTGTGCAAAAAAAAAAAGAAGCCAATTGACAGAGGCTAGAGGTGTGTCACTGTGAAGGGGTTGAGGAGGGAATCTTCCCTGAATGTTTAAAAAATAAGCCAAATTTCTTCCCAGATATCATCATTTTGGCGAATGGCCTCTTGATGGCCTTGAATGTCAGCAGCATGATGCATGAGATCTACATGGCCTGGGTCTTCCTTGTCTGTACGTTCCCCATTCTTGTTTTCCATTTCAAATTTGTTGTCTTTTCTGATGTTTCTTATGAAAATACCCAAAATCATTGAATTTCAAGTCTGTAGCTAAGGTTTGGATTGCTAAGATTTCTGGAGGAAGATTCCCACATATCTTGGAATATGTGGTGTCTTAACATCAGGGGTGTACATATTCTATGGTCAGTCTTTACTAATGCCCTCTTAGCTAATTGCATTTGACTGCTGTTAAACCTGGTTTGGTAAGTTTATTGCTTGTTGAAAGCTGCAACAAGGAAACTCAAAGATAAATCTATGTTATCAACAGGGAGGAACTTGTAATGATTCAATAAAGGGGTCCACATATTCTGGGAAAGTTATTACTTGTGCACCCAGTGTGCATGCCTATGACAGCTTCTGATATCTGTCTTGTAAGTCTGGGGTGATGTCTACAATATCGATTTGAAGTCAGACTCCATTTCCTATTTACTTGCTCTTTCCATATGATATCAGGAAATTATGGAAAGTACCAAAGCAGGTTGCATTGGGAATGGGAAACCACGACCAGATCGGTTTTATCAGATCTCTCGCTCATCATCAAAACTTGATTGCCTGGAGCAAGCAAGTCCTGAATTGCCCAAGCTTTTGTGAAGTTTGTTTTTGATTGTACTTAATCTGCAAAATCATAAAATATGTGTATATTGTATTATTGATGGTATGTCCTCGGACATACACAGAAGTCAGTGGAAGTCTGTGAAGAAACTTTTTCTTTGTTGTATCTGCAGTGTTCATTATTGAAGCTGTGATGAAACTGCTGGCCCTGGGCTGGCGTGGATATCTGTCTTCGGGCTGGAACACATTCGACCTTGTGGCAACTTTGGCCTACCTTGTTGGCTTGCTGGCTCATGCTATTGGTGGTCCTTCTTCCTTGGTGATTGTTGTTCAGCCTTTGCGTCTCCTTCGCCTCTTCAAGATCAAGAAACGCTATCGAGATGTCTTTGGAACGATGGCACTACTCTTCCCTCGAATGCTTTCTGCTTCCCTCGTCCTGACTCTCTTGTATTACTTTTGTGCCATCATCGGCATGGAACTCTTCGCCTCCTATAATCTGAGGGACTGTTGCAAGTAAGACAAATACTCAACTATTCAAAAGAGAAAAATTCATTTTTAACTTACTTTAATGTTAAATTGTCATAAACATTTATTGAAGGCCTAAAACAGGAAATGAAAGCTTCTTCATTATCATTGCCATGTATTCCAGGGGTGGGGGATAGAATCTATAATAAAATTCTAAATTTAACCTGAACGTCATTATTCTGTAGTTTTCTAATCCCCTGCTATTCTTCCCTGTTAGTTCAGACTTGCTAGCAAAACAGAAACAGGAAAACTTTGTTGATTCAATAACTGATGGTTTGAAATAGTGAGTACTTCAAAGTCATTGGTGTTCACAGTGTCACAGTTTGCTATTTAACCTCAATGTTGTGAGTGCAAAGCAGGGGTGAATGTGCCATGGTGAATGAGAGAAAGTATGTCGTAATCAGATAATTCGAAGTCGGCATTTTTTGGTCCCCTGAATTTCAAATGAATGAGGTTTTCCTGTATAATGCTACAGAAAAAAAGTTCATTGTCCCATTTCCACATTGTCACTCTCCTTCACCCTTAGAGGGGAAAAGTGGGAAATAAAAACTCATCGCCTTCAATTCCCCCCCTTTCCTGGAATCAGGTAATGAGGAATGCATTCTTTATTTAACTTGCTCTCACACTTTACTGTCATCTCACTCTTTCCCTGTCACATTAATCTGCCCTAGCCATTAGAACTGCAAGAAGCTTCATACCTCCTGTCATGAATAAGCGTTCTTGGTGTTTTCTCATATGGGAGAAGTTGACTAAGTTTTCTTGATTTCAAAGTTTAACGCAAATTGAACTAAATGCAGATGTTGCTAGCTGTTATAAAGTTTAAGTTGTGTTCATCCCATATATGCCAAGTGTTTAGGAAGTTAAACGCTAGATGGCTCATGTAACTACTCTTGATGGGTGATTGCAAGACTCAATCACCGTTCCTCAGGCTAAGAGTGCACAGTAAAAAGGTGGTTAGACATTCTGACTCTTAGACTTAGTTGAAGAGCAAGTTGAGTAGCACGTGATTTAAATATTCCAACATCAACTGTGTTGGTTATAAAGAAGTGTCACTATAAACTGGAACAAGATGCTGTACTGGCTGGTGTCCCTCTTCCATAAATGAATGCAAAACGCAGGCTTTGAAGATGCATGTACCGAGGGCCGCCCAGAGAGGGCGGGGGGCAAAGGGGGCAATCTGCCTTGGGCCCCCAAGGGGTCGCTGGTTTAATTTTACCCTGGACCCCTGGAAACCTCTGGGCAGCCCTGCATGTGCCAAAGCAAAGAAAATGTTTAGATTTTTTCTGTGACTGACAGAAAGAACCTTGGCAATGTTTTATCAACCCCATAGAGGGAAATTAAGGAATTTTTTGTACGTTAGGGGACAGGTTTCTTCTTCAGGAATAAAGGAAGAAAAAGGAGTGGTCACTCAGGCAGGTTTTTGATCATCTGAAAAAATCACCAGTCCCCTCAAGTCTGGATTTATGAGAGTTGACTGTATTTCAAAGTCCAAGCTCCTACACAGGAGAAAACCAGTCAAGTGGTCATGATGTTTGTCAAACCTGAAACTTCTTCACTTATCTGACCTTGGCTGATAGAGAGCACTAAGGCAGAGATGGGGAAAATATCAGTATGCTGCAATTACTTGATGTGAGCTTCTATCACCCGTCCAGAAATGCAGAAACATTTTATGTGAAATTAGCTCTGAATGGAGGTATTGCCAAGATGATGCCAATAGGGAGACCAAAAAGGCAAACTCAAATTTGCACATATTCATTCAACATGCATGAAGTATATGATTGATATTGAAATAGTGAGATTTTCATGGTCCTGGCTCGACTATTTGTGTTTGCAATATTGCTGCCTTAAAAAAATCATTGAAATCCACCCCTTCAAAGCTAAGAATTTATTTGTTTGTATTGTGCTGTAAAAACCCCACCTGGTAGTTCTGATCTTAAATGTAAAAAATCCAACCTTGAAAGGGTTAATAATTGCAATGTTTGAATGCTCTAGATTGAAACAAGAAAAGTACTTGTGGAAGGACTCATACTTGGAGAATGAGTGCTGCAAGAATGAGTCCTCTGAGCCAGGCATCTCTAGCTCCATTTTCATTATGGAGTGAGGTTTTGGAGGAATTGATGAAGCTGTTCTCTCTGTATTTCTATGTTTTTTGGCTAGTAAGATTACCTTCTTTTCTATAATAATAAGAAAAGTAACAGCCCCTGAAAAGAGTTACTAAGTTCCATTTTTCAAAAGTTAAAAGTGAGTCATTACCAAAAACCATTTGGACTTGCATATAAGATCTCTCTCATGATGATGATCCCCCCCCCCCCCCCATCTCCAAAACTATTTGTCTTCTTGACCTCTCTAAAGTGTAATTATTCAATTTTGGTGAAGTTTATGAGCACCTGGCATAAAACTCTTCAATTAATGCTGCCTGACTCTTCTATTTTTAGGAATACATCAGTGGAGGACTATTATCGGGACTTAAATTCCATCAGCCGCTATGATGGCCTCTTCTACCTCAACAACTTCTCCAACTTGTTCTCAAGTGGCATGACACTGTTTGAACTGATGGTGGTGAACAATTGGCATGTGATTATGGAAGGGTATGCTGCAGTAACTGGGTCTGCTTGGTCCCGCTGCTACTTCATGGCTTTTTACTTGGTGACCATGGTGGTGCTCACCATCACTGTCTCCGTTTTCCTTGAGGCCTTCCTCTTCCGCATTCAGTACAAGCGAACTGTTGGCTCTGATCTTGGTTAGCCCCCTTATATCACTCTCCTTTTCAATGACTACATTCTGCTTTCTTCATCTTCATGTGACATAACAAGAAATTATGAAAAGTAGTCAATTTTCCATAAACTGCTCAACAGTTGCATCAGTATCATACTAGTTAACCACAAGTCACAGACAATGTGGCCTGGCCACAATTTAAATCTTTTTTTTATTTTTCCCAAGAATATCATAAGGCTGCAGTATTGACTCACTGTATCCTAAGGAAGTACCTGAAAATAGTTAAGGTTTTTCAGCAAAGATATTAAACAAGAATGGGAGAATAAGCCTTGGTGTGTTAGTGTACAAAATCAAAGGTCTTGTGAAACTCAGTAAATCCTGGATGCAGAATCCACTTTAAATAATTCCAGCATCTTCATTCTTGTGAAATAAAAAGAAAAGAAACCACGCAACGACAACCAAGAAGTTACAAAATTTATACTTCTTCACAAAAGGCTCTTTCAAGAGTAAGATGTTGAAGAAGAACTTGTTTTTATCATGATGTGATGTTTTATGTTCTAGGAGGGTATGTGTGCAAGGAGGTATCCTTATCACGTGAGGAAGTAGAGCGTTTGGAACCAAACTGTTACTCATATGCAACCCTTCACAATGACATGGTCTGTCTCTTCATGATCCCTTGTTTCATGAACCAGTTGCAAAAGTTCATGAATCTACTTTCTTTTGTCCCCATTCTCCTAGGGCCTTGGAGAATGGAAATTTGTGGGGAAGCAGTGGGGAAGCAAAAGTGTGATGCAAAAGCGTATGTATCAAGATGAAATTCCTCTCTGGGTTGCCCAACATGAGAATGATCATCCCATCCTCTCTTGACATCTTTATTAGCATCAGGATGCTGATGATGTCTCCTACTCCTGTTCATTGCTAGCAGACATCCAACTTCTGCAAAGAGAAGTTTCCCTGTGATAGTTCTATTTAGATATTTTTTCTCTCTCAAATAGCTTTTTATTTAAAGAACAGTTAAGAATACTGTATCTCATTGAATTTCTTGAAAGCAATGTTTGATGTTGTGATTGGTGTTGCATGTGCTTTTATCACATGAGGAAGTACAGGCTAAGATGTTTCTGTGTGAGGGTCAATGTAGGCCTTGGCCTATGCATTAATTTTCTATGGATGACCTAAATGACATCCAGAAATTTTTCTTATGCATGAACATGCATGGCAAGTACTTAAACTCTCCCCTGTCTGAGGATCCCACATAAATATGATTGAGGTGATCATTGAAAAATAGTCTCCTTCATGAGTCATTGCAGCCATCAATGCATTCAATAAAAGTTTATTCAATACAATAAGATAAGATATGATTGAGAGGGGTGATCAGCAAATAAGATGGGTAGTGAATACTTCATTGGGATTCACTATCATTGATGAAAATCAGGGAGTTCCTTAGTTTTATTACAACCAAGTCTCCACCATGTCTGTGACCCTACCTCCAAATTGTCATCCCTTTATGGCATTGAATTTAAGTACCTGTTATATTGGAGTTGCCCTATAATCCATTGTTACTCATTGATCTTGAGATTGTCTCAAAAAGCATGTGATATTTTGACAGTGGTACGATTATGTTGGTACATTGTAATTCAGCTCTTAGTTCAGGTCTAGTCACATTGGCATCTGAAGAACAGCTTGATATAAATATGCTGTGGTCTTCTAAATAGCTGAATGAAAGACTTAAAAGAGAGCAAGGAAAATGAATTTCCTTCAATAGAAGCATAATGAGTTCTGCCCCGAAGGGGAAGGAGCACTATTAAACAAACTTTCTTTAAAATATTTCTTCAACCAGAAAAAATGTAAAAATAACCATTTAAAAAAATGAAGGTAAATGTGCAAGAAACCAATGAGAATTTTAACTCAAAGTGTATGGTCTCTTGGCTGCCAGCTGCCTTTAATGCTCAAGAAGCACTTCAACTCTTGTATGCACAGCAAATGGTTGTACTCTCTTTGGTCTGAGCAGATTTTTTTTCCTTAGATAGATCTGGTGCGACTCAGTAGTTTAAAATTGAAATCCATTTTTTACCTCAAAGGTAGAAAATGCATAATATCTCAGGATTGCCAAGTGAAGAGTATTTAGGTAAAGAAAACCTCAATATCTACTGAATGGAAATTTGATGGAAATATTTGGTATAACTGGTCAAAAGTAGATCTTCAGATCGATTTGAATTCACCTGAATTCTTCAAGTCTTGAAAGAGCCCAATGCACTCCAACTCCATGTAGCATGAGCTGATTTTGATGTCATGACTCCCCTAACTCCACCTCTCAATTGCTTTCTCACATTGTAGATGGGTTCATGCAAGACAAGTTTGTTGTTACTTAGGAAAGTTTCTATCTCTTTCTATTCATTGTTTGTTGAGAGTTCTCTGGCAAAAACTAGACATAACTGCTCTGGGTGAATCCACCTCCACCTCATAAGCACATTTGGACATTTCATCATCATCCATGGTCACCAATTAGCAATGGAAAATTATTTCATTCAGAATTGTGGAAAGCAATGTCAATGGACTCATGCTTAACATCTGCCCAATACCATATATATGGTCATCAGATCACATTAGCCCAGAAAGTGAGTTCTCATGGTTCAAAATTCAGCTGATTTTAAATTGTGGGGTAGATTTCACTTTCTTTGCTCTCTTTATCTGCAACAATTAGGCAAATCCTTGTACCAATGCATACTGCTTGAACTTATCCAAAATCATGCAATGTATTATAATGAGAATATCAAATGTTTTATGAGACATCACATGTGGATCTCTGCATGCTTCACATCATTGATGTAGGAGAGGTAGAAAAAAACAGTGGGATCTACAATGTCAGTAATTAATTATTGTAATTATAAGTACCATACTCCCTATTATATGATGATTTCTTCCATGCAATAATGAAATGAGTAGACCTCTATTCTGATCCTCCTCTTGATTTTCCTTGCAAGCGTTAAGTTTTGCCTTGTTGTGTGAATTTCTTAGGAGTTGTAAATGATGTTTAATTATATTGTGACTGATACCTGTAAAAGTTGCTGCTTGTGAGAGCATGCTGGGAAGTAAGGTCAGTGTGAAATCCCATCACACTTAGGAGAGCATTTCAAGGATTTTTTTTTTTTTTCTGTTAAGATTTGTTATGAAAGTGGCTTTTCCATGACATGTCTCTCCTATCTACCCTCATGATGCATTTGTGCACTCAAATGCTTTCCTGGTATTCCTCAATATTTAACATCTGTCAAATTTGCAGGATCCAGTATTACCATCATCTTATCTTCATTGCTGAACCAGTAATCTCGTACCAATTGTGATATTCCTGTCCGATGAAAATACTGAATACAATATTTTTCATGCTGCTGTGCGTGCTGAATCTCTTTCTCTCCCAGAGTGCCCCTCTTACCCTGAAGAGGTTTGTTTTCATTCACACCAATAGATGTGACTGCAAAAGGTGTATGAATTGTGACATCAATGTACCAGAGGCTCTCTGAAGTGAGTCTGTGTGTCAATGACACTCAGGATAGTCATATCCATGATCATGATGATATAATCTCTTTTGTAGTGATTGGACTGCAGCAGTATGTACCAGCATGCACCTCAAAATTAGACAAATCCATTCTGTCATCTTAATGAAGTTCACATGCATAAAACTGTTCCAATTTTTGTATGCATACTGTTCCACTGACATTGTTAGCTTTTATATAATTTTTAAAAGTTTGTGGGTGCATCATCTCCGTTTTCTTAGATTTTATCAGGTTTACCTCTTATTGGACCAGATGAAAACGTTTTATCTTCAGAGGAACCTATCCCTGTTTGGAACTCATCAGTATTATATTAAAAGCGTGTCGAACCACAGCTTTTACAAATGTTAAGTTTAAAATGTCTTTCTTGAATGTTAATATTTCATAAGTATTCAAAATCAGCATAACATTTTATATGCGGTTACAAATGTTCTAATTGTCAAATCTGATGTTTTATAGGCTTGTATTAACTCCTTTGATCAAGTACCTTTCCATCCTTGAAATTTTTTAGTAACTGACGATGTAAAGAATTTTCCATAAATCCTGTCCGTTGATCCTTGTATTCATTGCGTCTTTTTGAACGGCTATTAAATATAAAGCAAATTTAAGCTGACGAATTAACTTGTAGGGAAGGACATCCAGAGAAGACAATAACTGTTGGATGAAAACTATGACAGCATCTCTATAGGATCACTGTTAACGCCTGTTGCATCGCCTAACAGCTGGAGATAGCAAAGGGCGTCAGTGCGAATGCGATTCTTTATAGTGAAGATAGCCTTTTTTCCATCATTCTTCTCCTTTCGATGTTTTTCTTGTCATGAATTCCAAGGGATTAAGGGGACGACTTTCGCACGTGCGAAGGGAATCTGTGGTTGAGGTACTCACGCTGTCCACAAGCTTCTTGATATCCTTTCCACCACAAGAAGCAACATCGAGGAGATGAACTATATAGAATGAACTTGGTACACGAACTCGTGGCTGTGTCATGAATGTGATTGAGAGTTTCAAGGGGGTGAGATCTCTACTTGTACCACCAATTACCCTTTTCCCTCACGCCATTTCGCTATTGTGCCATAGTTGATTGTATTACTGCAAACCCATGCCTCTCTGACGGCCATTTTGCCAATTTGGAACGTTCATTGACATCGATCGATTGGGATGGTAGTGCATCAGATGATGTGCCACCCTGTTTATTGTTCAGGGTATGACAAAAAAAGACGCCTTTTACCTTTCGCATCTCCTCTTGCTGATAATCTTTTTTACTTGCGCCGTGCTGAGGTCGTTATATTCCCAATTGACGTGAAATTTCACAGAAGTCTATTCTCCTAAGGTATAGATAAGGCTACGTGCAATTATTTAGAAGCCTGAGATTGAATATGAATGGACGCGAGTGCGTCGAGTGGAAGAATTCGAGCTTTGGCTGCATAATATCAAGACCATTTTGATCATCATGAAGAATCATTCTTTCGACTGGCCTTTTGCTGTATATGGTTTGCATTAATTTTCCCATTAACGACTAATGAATCGATGGACATTAATAAAGGGAATTTGCTTGATGATTCTTTAGGTTTTCTCATGGTTTACTTCGGTGGATGGAGCAGGTAGAGTAAACTGGATATTAGGGGACTGGAATCCCTCCCTTTTCCATTTCCAATATCTTTTAAACAGGGTTGTCACGATAGATCGATGCATCGATACCACTATCGATGGTTGGGGGTATCGATAGTTTTTTCGACCATCGCGATGTATCGGTAAAAGATTTTAAAGGGAAAATGTCCCATTGGATTGAGGCGAGTACGGAACAATACAGTCCATCTGTGTGAAGAAAGGAAGAGGCGGCGTGACCCGCATGGGCTAGCAATTTCTTATCACAATCAAATTCTGGAAATGCTGGACTGACTATATGAAAGATGGGATGGAAAAAAAAGTTAGATCGGAGACAGGAAGTGGGAAAGGAGAGGGAGGGAAGACCGAGAATATTTTTTTCTCTTATGTTTCAGTCTTCGGCTCGATCTCATCAGGTGCATGCTGCGAAAGTGGACTGTTCTTATACTCCCCTGATTTCGAAACGTACATTGGTGGTACTTCCCCCTCTCTTTCAGCAGCCGTCGGTATGGCATCATCGGCAGGTTTGCTATCTGCCGGTGCCAATGTCCAAAGAAGACCGTGTAAGACGAAGGAAATGAGAAAAAAATTACATGAACGGGCTTGGCGACTGATTCTCAACGACAATAAGAAAAAATTAGGACTGTCCTGAGGCATCCATTGCTGAATGGATATCATCCTCGATATTTGGAGGTATGGTAGATTTCATTACTCGTTGCGAAGGTCACACCTTCCTCCCACACCCCCCTATCACAAGCGTGATGGAAGACAGATAAAGGTCCTCGCTCCGATCGAGGCGAGAAAAGATTGAATCCTCCGGCACAAACCCCCCCTCCAATG